GGAGCTTGCAGTGAGCTGAGATCCGGCCACTGCACCCCCACCTGGGCGACAGAGCGAGACTCTGTCTCAAAAAAAGAAAGAAAAGAAAAGAAAAAAAAAAAAAAAAAAAAAAAAAAAGTTCACTGAATGTACAAGAGTCAACTAAGAGCTTCTATATATCTGGACTGTGACTAAATTCGAATACTCAAAGCATAAGCTAAAACTTGCCATTGTTGAAGTTGTTTTATTGTGTTTAACTCCTAAAGTTTAAGCCCTAAAATGAGCCCTTCTTTATAGAACAATTCCTTTCTCTTCTCTTGAATGTGGCAGTCACTACTGCCAACATAAAGAACTGTAACTATTTTTAGTAACTTCACAAAGCATCCCTGAAGCTTTCTAAACATGGAGAAAGCGTCAAGAAACCCAAGTTCTGTTCTCCAAAGATCACAGATCACGTAACTCTCAGAGATTTATTTCAGGTCCGTACAATTATATACGTTTCATAATTCTAAATGAAGATTTGCAACTCAACTCAATTACTCACAAAGTCCATTCAGCAGAGGCCAATAGCCACGCACCCTGCCCCACCACGGGAAGTTTTGATAATAGGACTGCACATAAATAACGGCCTCCTTTGTCTTCTTCCTATCCTTAACTGGGCCCCACAGTGCACAAATAAGGACTCCCCTTATTTTGACACGAGGCGTTTAGAATGTATTACCTGTTGTGTGCTGAAAGCGACTATTAACGTACTGGCAATAACAAGTTTGCAGAAGATGCACGCCACCCTAGAGAAAGGGTTGCGTACCCTCTAAAAAGCAAAATTCATAAGCCGCTGTCCGTCCACTCGGGAGTTCCGCAAGCGTAGAAGTCCACGGGCACTCCATCGCGACGCCGATCTGGAGCCGGCAGACTTTCATTTAAAGGCGGAGAGCGGACTGCGGATTCCGACCTCTCAAAGAAAAGAAAGGGGAACCCCTCCCCCCGCCGCAGGAGGAATGTCCCCCAGTAATGGCTCCACACCGGGGAAGAGCAGGCTACGTCCGGGACCCCTCCTCTCACTCCTGGCTACGCTAGGGCCCCTTGGCAGGAGGCCTCTTCTCCCCGGCCAGCTAGGCGCCAGTTCTCGCCGCCGCCCGACTCCACTCTCGGCCGGCTGACCAGCCCGCGCGCGCCCACCTACCTCAGCCGCTCGTAGACCGGCCCCTCCGCGCGTCTAGGGGCTTCCCAGCGGCTGGGAACCTCGCGCTGGCGCCGCTCCCTCCCCAGCCCGCCGCCTCTGCACGGTGCGGAGAACGGGCCAAGGCGGAGGGGCAGGCAGCGAGGGCGGCGGCGAGGCAGACGCTGGCTCCCAGCACCCGCCGCGGCCGCCGCGCACAGTCCTGCCCCGGACGCAGTACGAAGAAGCCGCTACCACCCTGTAGTGTTAGAGGCGGTGTGCGCGACCTCGCGAGGACCGCGCACGCACACGCACACTCTCATCGCGAGACCCGATCTCCCGCCGCCGACCTGCACGCAAGCTTTGGGAGGGAGCCAGGCTGGCAGGCTGCGCTTGCGCGTCGTGGCCTTAGGCCTGGGCTGTTGGTGGTCCGGCGTCGACCGTCCCCAGTGGCTGAGGTTGAGAGACCTACCAAATGGGGAATTAGTAACTTCCTTACTTGTATTGGTTTTCACCACAATTCTGAGATGCTGGAACTCCTGCTGACCCCATTTCTTAGATACAGGACCTAATAAATGAAAATCAGGGGAGTTGGGACTCTTCATGCCCAGGATCATGTGATAATGAAAAGCCTTATTTTATGGGCCATCCTGATGATCCACGCGGATTACAGGCGTGAGCCACTACGCCCCACGGAATTGTCATATTCATTATTCCATAACCACAGGAAAGGATGAAACAACAAACTACCGCTATTATGTTTTTCTTGTGAGATATCTGACATATCAGTCACCTCACACAAACCCACTTCGAAGGGATTCATTTTCTTCCTCCTTCCTCCTGTGAATTTCCAGATGTCAGAATTGAGAGGATCCAGAATTAGGGCAGCTACTGAAAGGGAGACACTTTATTAAGCAATGGGAAGAGGCTAGAGGAGGATGCTTGCTCTTTTCCCCCATGTAATGAAGGCTATTTGAAGATGGACAATTCATAGTACTGAGTTCTACCGTAAGCACAGCCCTGGGCCAGGTACTGCCTTGCCAGTAGGAAAGAAAGGAGGAGCAACAACTTTTCTGGACAAACACAAGCCAGGACACAACACACGATACAAGCAAGCCCATTCATTCAACCTAGTAAGGGACTGGAGACAGATAAGCCATGTGAACAATTGATTAAACCTACACCAATAAAAACTCTGGACTGCCTGGGTGCGGAGGCTCACGCCTGTAATCCCAGCACTTTGGAAGGCCGAGGCGGCCAGATCACGAGGTCAGGAGTTCAAAACCAGCCTGGCCAACATGGCGAAACCCCATCTCAACTAAAAATATGAAAATTAGTCGGGCATGGTGGCGCGCACCTGTAGTCCCAGCTACTCGGAAGGCTGAGGCAGGAGGATCACTTGAACCCGGGAGGTGGAGGTTGCTGTGAGCCGAGATCATGCCACTGCACTCCAGCCTGGGACAGAACGAGACTCCATCTCAAAAAAACAAACAAACAATAACAACAACAACAACAACAAAAAACTCTGGACACAAAGCTCAGGTGGAATTCCCTGGTTGGGAAGGTAGGATTTTTTTGGCAGACAGGGATTCATAACATGATTCTAAACATCATTCCAACTAGGTGGAGTGACTCACACCTGTAATCCCAGGACTTTGGGAGGCCGAAGCGGGAGGCCAGGAGTTTGAGACCAGCCTGGACAATATAGATTCTGTCTCTACAAAAAATTAAACAATTAGCTGGGTGTGGTGATGAGTACTTGTAGGGCCAGCTGCTAGGGAGGCTGAGATAGGAGAAAGGACTGAGATAGGAGGAAGAAGACTGAGGCTTCCTTAAGCTGTGATTGTGACACTGCACTCCAGCTTGGGCAACAGAGTGAGACCCTGTCTCAAAAAAATGAAATACTAAAAAACAGGATTAATCATGCCAGTGTTATTTATATGTAAAAGGAAAATACCAATATAAAAAAGTTAAAATATGTACACAGATTTTAAGGCATATTAAGTAGCCTATCTAAAAACAAGTTTTTTTTCCAAGCAAGGTTTTTTTTGCTCTTGAGGTAGAATTTGAGAATGTGTAACAGCACTCCCATACCATAGAATCACTATTGCAAATCTGTAACTCTAAACTCTTGTCTGAAATGGCATTTGTACATAAAAACACTTAAGAAAAAGAAACTTTCATTCTAACAAGGTCAAATAATTTGCAGGCCCAGTAGAGGGGTAGCCAGAATAACAAAGGAAGTCAGACAGCCCTGAGTTTGAATGCCTTTCTGCCACTTGCCTCCCATGGCATTTTGGGCAAGTCACTGCTCCTTCAAAAGTTTCCACATGGATGAAATTAAGACACTGTCTTCCTTGTAGAGCTGTGAAATTAAATAAACTAATAGGGCTATTTAAATACTCATGAGTGGCCAGGCACAGCCACTCATGCCTATAATCCCAGCACTTTGGGAAGCCAAGGCAGGTGGATCACCTGAAGTCAGGAGTTTAGGACCAGCCTGGCCAACATGGTGAAACCCCGTCTCTACTAAAAATACAAAACATTAGCCAGGCGTGGTGGTGCATGTCTGTAATCCCACCTACTTAGGAGGCTGAGACAGGAGAATCACTTGAACCTGGGAGGTGGAGGTTGCAGTCAGTTGAGATCGCACCACTGCACTCCAGTCTGGGTGACAGAATGAGACTCTGTCTCAAAAATAACTCACCTCAGCTACTTGGTAGACTGAGGCGGGAGGATCGCTTGAGCCTGGAAGGCAGGGATTACAGTGAACGAAGATCACGCCACTGCACTCTAGCCTGGATGACCAAGCGAAACCCTGTCTCAAAAGATAAAAAGAAAAAAGAAAATATTCACCCCTATTTAGATGTTCATTATACTATTCTATTTTCAAATATTTATCATTTTCCATAAAATATTTTAAGCTCATACAAGTTATATTGTTCTTGAAAATAACCAAATATAAACATTCCAATAAAATCTCGAATAAGAATTCATGGGAATAGGGTCAGGCACGGTGGGTCATGCCTTCTAACCCAGGACTTTGGGAGGCTGAGGTAGGCAGATTACTTGAGGCCAGAAGTTCCAGACTAGCCTGGCCAACATGGCGAAACCTCGTATCTACTAAAATAGAAAAATCAGCTGGGTGTGATGGTGCACACCTGTAATCCCAGCTACTCAGGAGGCTGAGGCACCAGAATCACTTGCACCCCAGAGGTGGAGGTTGCGGTGAGCCAAGATTGGCCACTGCACTCCAGTCTGGGCAACAGTGAGACTCTGTCTCAAATTAAAAAAAAAAAAATTATGGGGACAAATATTAATCATTGGAACTGAAGGGAATAACTGAAGAAGACTTGCAAAGGATTTGAGTTTCAGGTTTGGATTTGAAAGTGCCAGACATGAATTGGTGGAGTAGAAGCTGTGGTGGCTACAAGGAAGACAACAGCAAGCACATTTATAATGGTGGAACCACCTTTACCCACTGAATAATCCAGGAAGCGTTGGAAGTGGGCTTTAAATGCCATGTTAGTCTGGAGATATTTCACAGAAGCACCATGAGCCAGGAAATATCAGCAAGAAATCTTCCAGCCAGCTCTCTTTAGAGGGAGATCTAGCCACCAAGATGAAACTGCACACTTATATCAGCTGATGACCTTAGTAAAATAGCACCAGCCATTTGGTGAACCACTAGCTAGTGGGTATTTGATCAAGGAAGAGGAGACATTCCAGGTTTACTCACCCTCTGACACATCTACTCATTTATGCTATATGTTGACTTTAGCTTTTTTTTTTTTTTCCTTCAGACGGAGTCTCGCTCTGTTACCCAGGCTGGGTCACTGCATTGTGGCCAAATCTCGGCTCACTGCAACCTCCGCCTCCTGGGTTCAAGCAATTCTCCTGCCTCAGCCTCCCGAGTAGCTGGGACTACAGGCATGCGCTACCATGCCCGGCTAATTTTTCTATTTTTAGTAGGGACAGGGTTTCACCATGTTGGCCAGGCTGGTCTTGAACTCCTGACCTAAGGTGATCCTCCCACCTCAACCTCCCAAAGTGCTGGAATTACAGGCATGAGCCACTGTGCGCAGCCAACTTATTTTAGATTCAATGGAGCAGACAAATGTTATAACCATGCAAAATAGTGCTTCACGAAAATCTGAACTACTTTCACAATAGTCACTATGAGAGAAATAGTGACCAACTCATTTTTTATATAGGAATTTGCTACCACTCTAGGCAGCTCCGTATAAAATTCTAAAATTCTTTAAACTTCTAAAATTTTACCTCATATTAAAGCAGTCAGCCTCCTACTAATGTCTATCCACTGCCCTAGTTTTTTAGACTCATGTTGCACAAAGTTAGTCATATGATCCCACTTGCCTCTATAAGGAGCTCATTTAGTTCAGGCCTCTGGAAGCTCTTTTTTGGATATATTATAAATATTATAACGAATCTCCACTATGTGGCTCCTCTGTACTTCTCCAGCCATCCCCTCCCCCAAAGTCAGGCACGGCCATGTGACTTGCACTAGTCAATGAAAGTGACAAATGTGAGATTATCTAAGATTCTTCTCTGCCATTAGGACTGTGATGTTAGAGTTGCCATCAGTCTGGATCCTGGATCCTGGGGTTAGAGAGATGTGAAGTAAAGCTTCCCCTCTTACAACACATGAGGATAGTTTAGTATAGATGAGAAATAAACTTTTTTTTTTTTTTTTTTTTTTGAGACAGAGTCTCATTCTGTCACCCAGGCTGGAGTGCAGTGGTGAGATGTTGGCTCACTGCAACCTCCAACTCCTGGGTTCAAATGATTCTCGTATCTCAGCCTCCCAAGTAGCTGAGACTACAGGCATGAGCCAACACGCTTGGCTTTTTGTATTTTTAGTAGAGAGGGGGTTTCACCATGTTGACTAGCCTGATCTCGAACTCCTGACCTCAGGTGATCTGCCTGCTTCAGCCTCCCAAAGTGCTGGGATGACAGGCGTGAGCCACTACTCCTAGCCCAGAGAAATAAAACATCACTGAGATTTTTGTTACTGCACCATGATCTAGCTGTAGTAACTGGAAGCTACAAAGGTTACTTTTACCTCTGACGAAAAGCTAAGAGAGAACTGAAGAAATAGCATAATCCAAAAAAATCGAGGAAATGGGCCCTTCTACCATGTAGAGGGGCAGGTGTAAAGGATTTAACCTTGCCAAAGAACAGTGTG